GAGAGAGAAAAAAAGGGAGAAAGAAAGAAAGAATCAAAGAAAGAAAGAGAGAGAGAGAGAGAGAGAAGAGTCTCTGGTCCTTTGGCCAAAACAACAGATAGTCTGAGCAAACTGAAATGGGAAAAAAATCCTTTACCTACAGCACATACCCCCACCCCATCTTGGTGCCCCTTTCTTTACACCAGTTCTTCACCCAGAGGCACCAATGCCTTCATTCTGCTCAAGCTTCCTCCTGCTCTCTACCCAAATGTCATATGCCCCCCAATCTATCATGCTTCTTTCTCCCCAACCCTCCATGAAAAACTCAAATTCTGTTCAATCAGCTGACCTTGGCCTGGTGTGAGAAGGATCATACCAAGACTAACAACTTTGAACCAACTGGCAAATGATTCAAGGGCTGCCAGTGGAGAAGGAGTTTAAGAAGATGCTAATTTTCCTAAAGAGTTTTTAATGTGTGGGCATCTCAGGATGACAAAGGGAAAGAAGGTGGAAAGTTCAAGGATAGGATCTCAGGTAGCCCAGAGCAAGGGTCATCCATACAGCATCCATCCTTCCACAAAGTCCCATTTCGGCGCAGGGGGCAGACTCGCCCACTGGAAGCCGGGACTGCTGCCTACTGCCTTTGCCTGCTGCTCTCAGAAGTCTCTCTACCCACTGTAAAGCTCGAAGTGACGAAGTGAGAGGCCCTCAGACCTGGCCAACAAGAAAAAGCCTCTTTGCCATTCCTGCTCCGGGGACTCCACAGCAAGCAGGCCCGTTCTAGAGAGGGTGCTCACCTCAGGGTCAGACTCCTTGGTGTTCTTGGAAACACATTTTTCTCTTTCCTCAAACAGGCTACTAAATGGGTGGTGAAAAGGACTTGTTCCAATGACAGAGTTACTGCGGCTCAAAAACTTTCAGGAATTCCTAGGACTTGCCTTCAATACCAGCTTATAAAATACACATTCTCAATCTCTCTCGCTCTCCCTCCCCCTCTTTCTTTACCATGCACCTGCACCCTCCTCCCTCTCCCCGCCCAGCCACTTGCTAATTACTGAGTTTATACTTGTTTTTGAGTGACTTATGAGCTTGAAAATCATCCAGAAGAGCATCAAAGTACTCCTAGTTGTTTCCAGAATCAACAGCCACTGGAAGAATGACGCTTGCCCATGTATGACCCCTTGCTGGGAGCACATCTCCAACAGGATAGGTCCTCTTCCCCAAGCCCAATGCCTCCTCCCTCCCCTTGACCCTGGAATCTACCCTGGCTCCCTCTCCTCTCTGTGTCTGCTTTCACTTCTTCTTTTCCTCTGGTGGGTTTCTCTTCTAGGTAAACTGCAAACAGGAATGGATCCTTTTGCCTCCTGCCCAACCCTTTCCACTTTCCTTAATGGTCCTTAAATTATTTTCTTTTAGAGCAATGTTCTTTAACACAAGGAAACAAGCCACATGCATTAAACAAATCCATGCTTTGTAGATTTTAAGTCACGCAGAAGTATCTTAGTCGGTATTTATGGCTTCATGTTCCTGGTGCACTTATGTCAATGTCCAAAACAAGAAGAAGGTTTTGGAATCAAGTCTTTTGATCTACCTGGATTCCTTTATTCCTGAGTGTGGTTTTTTTTGGTGTTGTTTTTTTTGTTTGTTTTGTTTTGTTTTTGTTTTGTGTGGGGGGGGCTGTTTGTTTTGTTTGTTTGTTTGTTTTTTGCTCTGCCTCAGACCTCAGGTTTTATCACGAGTTCTTTACGTCTCTATGAAAAAGTTTGCAGCCTAGGGCAGGGGTCACCAAGGTATAGCCCACAGCTTGCTTTTATAAATGAATTAAGACTGGAATACAGTCACATAGGTTTTTTGGTTTTGGTTTTGGTTTGTTTGTTTGTTTGTTTGTTTTTTGTTTTTGTTTTTATCTCTGGTAGACACCAGAGAAAATTCACTAGGAAATAAAAAACAGTTTTTAATTATTAGATCAATGAAGTGATCCCATATTCAAGAGACCCATGAGCATGTCTGGACCATTCTAGAAGGATATGGTTTCTCCACCTCATAGCTGTCTATCTTTTCTCTAAGGAGGTCAGATGACGTCCATTGATTAAAAGCAATCTGTTGGGGTTTTCTAAAACGGTTAAGCAATGATATAGCATCACTAGAAAAGGTCCACAGGACCCAAGTGGGTCTACACATTTTGATGCAAAATTTATTCTTTTTTTGCTGTTAAAAATATTAAAACAGAATGCTACAGTTCCTCCTAGAAATTCCCAGGATCCTCATATCCCTTTTATAAAAACAAAACATTTTATGTACACTTTCAGAAAATAAGAAACATTTCTCTTCAAGGTAAGGATGCTCTAAAACACGAATGGGGAGAAATGGATAAACCAGTAGCGTATTATCTGATTCAGAGAAGATGCTCATGGCTGTGCCAAATCATATTTTTCTTAGTAAGTCACACCGAACAAAAAAAGAAGACAAATCACCATGAAAATGCAAGTGAGCTGGTAATAATAGCCTAGTTATAGCTGCCATGAAATAGTCATTAAGTTATATGCAGCATAAATCTCACTGAGTTTTGTAAATTATGGTGGTTTTTAGAGGCCAAATAAAGATAAACCATACAAATGATGGCTGCTTTTCTCTGTGCTCCCTGGCATGACTTTCTCAAACGCTTAAGCTCAGGCTCATAGGACCATATGGTTCTTGAAGCATCTGAGAAAGCGTAAAGGTTCACAACTCCATCAAGACCCCTCTTTCACATCTTAAAGGTGATTGTTCCTAACCAGCCCTTCCCTGCGCTCTTGCCTGGTTCGGGCTCACACTCAGTCCGGACAGGCTTCCGGCTCAAGCCTTACACTTCTAGCTGCTCCTGTTTCCAAGGCATATTGGAAGAGCAGGTGCTGGAGATGGGCAGCGCTGGCAGGCTGAACTGGCTGCTGGCGGTTCCAGCCAGCCCCGGAGACCAGCAATAAAATCCCACTCTCTGCCTCCTCAGTAGACCGGCACATTAGCAAGACTCCGATCCAAAGATGCCCAGGAAAATGTTCCTTCTCCTCCCTTTTGAAGGTTGGTGGTAATCCCCAGTTGATCTTTCCTCGCAACTGCTTTTTCCCCCTGCTATTTAAACTGAATTCTTATTGCTCCAAATTAAATCCATTCTTTCTGGCCTTGTCATTGCTAACTAATGAGAACAATTCCTCTCTTTGCTCCTGGTAGCTGCACTTTGGGTACTTATGGATGAGAATCATATCCTTCCTTAGCCTACTTTCCTAACTGCAGACCGCACAGGTGATAAAATGGGTTAATTGTTGCTATAAAAATATTTTCTATCCTCATAACAAAGTAATTTTTTCCTCCAAATCATTTTCATTTCTTGGAATTGCACTGTGTTCTTAATAATCTGCAGTGACTGAGGTTGCAGTCCTGTTGGGCTTAGATATACAAGCAAAATGTTGGATATACAATACACATGAATAGAGCAATCCTGGCTGATTGTGCTATCTCCTTTTGCCCCACCCACTCTGGCCTCGGTTTTTATCATGGTTTTTACACCCTTACGAGGAAGTCTGTAGCCTAGAGCAGGGGTCATCCAAGTAGAGCCTTCAATCTGCCCTTTTTTTTTTTTTTTCTTTTTTAAGGAGGTTCCATGCCCAGTGTAAAGCCCAAAGCAGGGCTTGAACTCACAACCCTGAGATCAAGACCTGAACCAAAATCAAGAGTCAGATGCTGAACCAACTGAGCCACCCGGGCCCCCCTGCAGACTGTTTTTGTAAAATAAATTTTTATTGGAATAGAGCCACATACGTTTCTTAAAAGCATGTTATCTGTGGCTGTTTTCACATTATAACAGCAGAGCTGAGGGGCTCTCACAGAGACTGTATCACTTGTGAAGCCCAAAATACTTGCCGTCTGGCCCTTTACAGAAACACTTCACTGACCCCCAGCATAGACGGTCAACTAGTAAAACCCAACTGGGCTTTACTACTTGCACCAGGTTCGGGAGAAGTACCGGGTAAATCTCTCATTTACACCCAGGCAGTCTGCTAAACATTTCACGACAGGCCAAACCACACAGCCGGGAAGGGAGTCTGGACTGAAAGTGTTTCTCATAGTTTATTCCCAAAGTACCCCACGGGCATCAAGGTTCACTTCTTAAAGGGACAAAAGAGGCTTGACATAGAGACTAACCCAGGGCTACGGCTCCAACACATGTAGGCAATTTTTACAATCATGTGCCCCTTTGCTGAGTCCATCTAGAACGTTCCGTTGCATTCATCTGGCTCAACGACTCACACCAGCAGAAAGACAAAGAAATCCAGGCCAAGGCCTGGTACTCACTATGTGAAGCTGGAGGAAGTCGCCGAGGCCCGGAGCACTGTCGATGCGCACCAAGATGCCATCCTTCACGGTGGTGCTGAAGCCCACAGCCAGGCGGTCCGAACGCGTGCTGGGCCGATCATTGGCCGGCCAGGTGTAGAGGATGAGGCCTCCGCTTTTCCCAAAGATGTACGTAGCGCCAGCTGCGAAAGCAAGGAGAGAGGGAGCCATCAGGGCGTGTACCGTGTGTCCCCAGCTACAGTCACACTGTGGAGACTCTGCACAGACAGCTACGGAGAGGAAACGACCCCCACACGCGGGTGGTATTTGGTTACTGAGAGGGATGGCATCCAAGGTCTCGGATGGCGGCTGTCACCCTAAATTAAAGACGCAGGCAAAATGAATTAATAACAAAGCAGATGTTAGCGAGAGACACCCCTAACATCTTCACTTCCCGCTGTATAATGGCAGAGGACAAGTAAGATGCTGTGTCTGGAAACGTGGGTATGTTGTGACAAACAACTTTTCTGATCTCAGCAGCAGAATGAATTTTCCATCTTGGCTAGGACAGGCATGAGAGAGAAAATTAGTTCCCCAACCTCTTAGCTCCCAGAACATTCTGGTCTGTGTTGTTGGGAGCCGTTCCGGGAATGCCTTGCAAGACTGGACGTAAGGTGTAAGTCCAAAGCCATCATCCTTTTCACACCGGTACCTGCTACCACCCCCACAGAAAAGCAAGCTGGAGCCTGAGAAAATCAAGTTCTGCATTTTCCTATTTCACTCTTACACTGCTATAAAAAATGTGAAAAAAATTAACCCCAGAAGCATTTTAAAAATTAATTTATTTCCCTAGTGATGGTATTTATCTGGTATAATATAACAGCTTCCCTCTCTTCTCCAAACTAAATTTCAAAAAGGAAATATAGAAGACATAGAAAAAAAAAAAAACTCACAAGAACGAATTTGGAACAAAATGGTATTGCCACTTAGGAATAATGGGTTTATCAATGTTTTTAGTATTTACTGCCTTTTCACTCTTATTATTTACAAAGCCAGAGATTAGTAAGATTATATTAATTTAAAAATACTCAGAAAATAAACAGGAAGAAAAATAAAGAAAATATTTGCAACTCATAAATCTTAAAAGTCTGTTGTTAAAAACGAGTTTTTAAATCAAAATTTGGAAGAAAGCATTCAGATTTGGTAGCCGGAACAGACTACATCACTGTAGTTTCTACGGCCATCTGTCTGTTCCCCATAGTGAGTACTTCCATACGTTACTCATCTCAAAGTTCAAAGACTATTTGACAGCAGATCTTCTTGTGTGTTCCCACTGAACATGGTCCAATTCTTAAAACTATTTTAAAGCAACATTAGATAAGCATTCAGATTTCTTCAACTTTCCTAAAAATCTCCAGCACTGGTTCACATTTAGTCTACAGGGAATATTGGGTTGAATTATGTTGTGTGAAGAAAAAAAAGAGTTATGCAACTTGTTTAGAAATAATAAAGTCAACTGCTACGAGGCTAGAATTAGGAGTATATGTCATAGGTCATCCTTATTTTAAGCACTAAGCCACATTGTACTCTGTGGCATAAAGAATCTAATTTGTCCTTTTTTCAAATGTCACTATTCCAGTCCCTCCAATATGCCCAGTTTGTATATTACGTGTAGCATAACATTATCTTCCTTCTATGAATGTCTGGATCCTGAGGTGATAGCATCTAATAAGACCTCTGCCGTCATCTGGAGAATTTGGGATTGTGGTGTGAAAGTTTATGGTTAATTCTATGTGTAAAACCATATTTGCTCCTCACCATCCACAGATACCCTCAATGCTTCTTAAAATTAGAAATATGGACATCATGATTTACCCTTGATGTCTATCCATCTGTGAGGAATTTAAATAATTCCCTTTCCTGTAGATGATTACAAATGTCATCGCCACCCTCTTCATTCTTTATTTGGAAAACTGAAGGTTACTCAGTGATCAATGTATAGAATCACCAAAAATGCAAATCACCCTGTGACATTTTGTGGCAATTTATAAAATCTTACCCTATTTTATCCTAAATATGTAGTGGATTCTGGTACAGAGATAAATTCATACTCTATCAGGAAATTATTTTATCACTTTGTTACAAAAAGAACAAGTCCAAAGTTGATAACAGCAACACATATGCCTGGTGTTTTACAATTTAAAAAACCTTTCCAAATTCATTAGCTGGATCTTCATGACAGTTCTATGGGATATTTCGTTTGTTAACAATGTTTGGAAACAGAGACCCGAGCTTCTGCCTTAAATAAATGGCACCTCTTCAAGTCTCCTGCTTTCCCTCCTACCTCCAAAAGCCTGTCTTCACCATACGCCAATTATAGCTTAATAAAATTATACCATAAACTATACCAGTGGTGATGCAAAGTTGACTATACTTTATTCTTTTCCCATGTTCCTATAAGACCAAAATAGAATGAAAACAAAGCCATAGCTTCCAAACATGGCATATTTTCAAAAGCTAGTCTGGCCTTCTAACCATACAAATAAATGTACAAACCTTCTACTCTGCTTATATTTTTTATCCACTGACTATTCAGTAATTCTTGATATAAAGAATATAAAGAGGAAGAATGTTTTAAAAGATAAATACACAACTTCTTATATCTAGTGGGTAGGAGGTCATCATGGCTTTACATTTTAAATAAACAAAGAACAAAACCTCACTATGATAACCTCAGGGTAGATCAAAAATCAGTCTTAAAAATTATTTTGATTGCTTTTTTGTTCTGAATTTAGGATGCCACTATGTTAGAGCATTCTAACTTTGTAGATGGAAAAGGGTAAAAAAGTACAAAGCCCTAAGCATATGGCTTATATGGCCATGTGGCAATAAATCTTAAAATATGTATTTTTTATATCAAATGTCCTAGGAAGGGTAAATAAAGACCCTGAATGCTCCCATAGTTCAATGTTGGCTTTAAAGCCAATAAAATATAAAATTAATATTTACAACTCTCTACCCTGAAAACCTGTTATTTTTTATCCTTCTTTAGTTAGCTTTGCTATTTTGCATGGTTTTTAAAGATAAATATGCACTTTCTGCTAATTTTAATATAAAATGCCTAGAATCCTAGGGGGAACATGGACTTATTTTGCTTTACATTTTCAAATTAAAAAGTTAATTTTGTTATTTTAAAATGTGGCTTACAAATCAATATTTGGGGACCATCCTAAGAACTGTAAGAATCCTCCTTAATTCATTAAAGATTTTCATTTCCAAGCCATGCAATATCACATCACATGCTTTCTCCCCTGAGCCTAGTTTCTCTGACTATTGGTTTCTTGCTGTGCTAAGTAGGCTGGTGCAAAGATCATACTCCATTTATTAATAATCAGAACCTTGCTGGCAAAAAGTGATCAATTCAACTGAAGAAAAACTGCTATGGTGGCATTTTGACAATTTAACATTGTAGGATTTGCAAGTTTGCAAGCATCTGAGATTGCTGAATGCCAATCACAGAGTATTTCAGGAATGACCTCTTCACATTGTCACCTTAACCAAGATATGTATACACACCGTTTTCAAACAGTCAACCAATCTACCATGTTATTTAATATGCAACTTCTTTTGTTTCAAAAGCACCAAAAAATGGGTTTTTATAATTGGCAAGCTGTTTACTGTAATGGGGCTGATGGTGATTTTGGCAGAGACAGGTATGTGAGGGTATGGAATATGTATGTTTTGGGGTGTTTTCTTGTGTGGGATTCATTGGGGGGAAGATGAGCATAGGACAGGCTCCACTGAGATCATTAAGGACTCCTGGGAAACAGTTTTATGTAGCTTTACAACAAGCTGGTTAAACAGATGATTGATGGTTTCTCAACGAGAATAAAAGATAAAATTTTTTCTAGGTCATACATTTCTCCAAGAAATAGCTCTTAAATCTGTGGCATATATTACCGCTTATTTTACTAAAATTTAATATAATTATTGCTGGCAACTTAACACTTCCTTATTTAGACCATTTGGATAATTATTACTTCTGTTGTTTTGACTTCTTAACCTCATGGTCCTGTCATTATGATACTGTTTTCTATTCTTATATCCAAGTAGCATATTATTTCTTTTTGGCAATTACCAATAGAAATAGAATCATAGACTTGTCTAGGACTCATATTTGATATAAAAATAATAATTAGGTGCCTTGTTAGCACAGTAGGTAGCGCATCAGTCTTATAAAAATAATATATACATACATATGTGTATGTATATACATATGCATATCTGTGTGTAAGAAATAAGGAAAGTTTAGTTAGAAAACATAGTAGACTACCTGGAATTAATTTATTATTTTCTTCATCAAATAATTATAGATAAAAGGCTCCAGAAATGCATCTAAATGTAATGTTGGTTGTTTAATTATGTCTAAAAAAAAAGAAACCAAAGCATATCAGCTTTCCCTGAAATTATTTTTGGTTGGTGTTGAAATGGAACAATGCGAGCATCTCCCAGGGGAAACCTGAGAAAATTAAATTTAAAGCAAACTAGATCATTTACGCAGGGACAAATATAGCATGTAGAATAATAAATTAAGTAATAAAATGAATATAATCCTTGCTGTGCAAACCATCTGATAGGTAAACCAGGGTAAGAAACAAGAAGTCAGACCCCCTTCTCCAGTGCTCTTTGAACACTGCCTGAGAACTCAGTGTAAAATCTCATGACGTCAAGGTACTATACCTGCCTTCCTCTATTACTCAGGCCCTTCGTTCCTCATTTCTATTGTAATACTCTTTCATCAACCTTAGCCACGTTTGTGTTCTTTACTGTGAATTGGTAAATCCTTTTGGAAAACAGATGGACTATCAATGGCATAAAATATATCTCGTCTGTAGAGGTAGTTATTGCTCCTCACTTAAAACTACCTTTTATTCAGATCAATTAGCCAGATAGCTAACACAACCAAAATGGAAAGACGGAAATGACCCACAACTCTCCTAGCAAATGGAGATGTAAAGCTCAAGGATCTCAAAAACACTGATGGTCTGGGGGAAAAAAAAAAAAAAAAAAAAAAAAAAAATATATATATATATAGTTTCTTTGTTTCTTTTGCTCAGTTCGCTCTATAGTTCCCCTTACACACACCCCTGGCTGTTCAGGGAGTGATCATCACAGCAGGACCTTCTACGTTCTTAGCACTGAA